CTGCTGCTGTTGCTGGGACTGCGGCAGCGGCTCCAGAAGCCGCCGAGGTTGCCTACCACCTGAAGAGGAAGTCATCTGATATAGGCTGGGAGTGGGGGCGTCTCTGTGATCCCAATGACAAGAACAGAGTCAAGTGTATTCTTTGTGGACAAGAGAGCACAGCAGGAATTTATCGCCTTAAGCAGCATCTTGCTCATGTTGGCACATCTATTGTGAAGTGCCCAAAAGTAAGTGAGGAAATTAAGCAGAAGTGCAAGAAGAATCTTGATGAAACAGCAAAGAAGAAGAAATATCAGCAGCAACATGATGCTACAAAGAAAAAGAATCTTGATGAAGCAGCAAAGAAGACCAAGAAGGGCAAGGATGCTACAGCCACGGTGTTGAACATTCGTTTTTGAAAAGATGTGTCCCTTTGTTTGAAGGTCTTTGAGCCATTGGTGAAAGTTCTACGTTTGGTTGATGGGGATGAGAAACCATCTATGGGTTATGTGTATGGAGAACTTCTCAAGGCAAAGAGGGGGATCAAGGAGGCCTTTGGAAATGTGGAAAAGAACTACAGAGAAGTGATGGCTATTGTTGACAAGAAGATGAAAGATAGGCTTGATTCTCCATTGCATGTGGCTGCATATATGCTGAATCCATACTGGCCCTGTTCGGCTTACCCCATATTCGGCTTGTTCGGCTTCTTTTTTCAACCGGAACAGTATTTTCCTCTCACAACAATTCAGCCGGAATAGTGTTTTCAGCCAATTTCAGACCAGCGAACGGGGCCTCTATAGTTACAGCAATCCAACAATCTTCTCTGATTCAATTGTAGGGGAAAAATTCATGATATGTGTGGAGACCTTTTATCATGGTGAGGATGATAAGGAATATAGGGCTGTTAATGAGGACTTGGAAAAATTCCAAAAGAGACATGGATCCTTCTCAAAGAAGATGGCAAGGAGCTGTGAACGCTTTGAGTTCAATCCAGGTAAGCTTTTGCATCATTCTGTCCAGATTTTTTTTCTGCAATCAATTCTGTCCAGATTTTTTTGCAATCGATTTTGCACATGTTTGATACATTTCACTTCATTTTATAGCATCTTGGTGGAGGCTTTATGGAGGAGGAGCACCAGATTTGCAAAGAATGGCTATTAGAATCCTCTCACTGACCTCTAGCTCTTCTGGATGTGAAAGGAATTGGAGCACCTTTGAACATGTCAGTTTCTAGTCTCTACTAATTGTTCTCTAGTCCCAATTTAATGTACATGTGCTGGTTTTTTGTTTTAGCATCATACAAAGAGAAGGAATAGGCTGACAACAGAGCGCCTCAACTCTCTAGTATTCATCCAATTCAATAATAAGTTGATGTCCAAGAAGGAGAAGATTACCAGAAAGAGTAACTATGAAGTGCTCCTAAGTAGTGATGCTTCTGAAGCTCAAGGATTTTTCTTTGAGGGAGGGGATGATCATGCATTGGTTGTCTTTAGGGATGAGGAAGATGAGGGAGAAATGTCGGGAACAGGGATACCATGGAGTGTTCTTGGAGAAGCAATGGGAACTAATGAACAGCTTCAACCTAGGAGGAGTGCAAGAGTGGCTAGAGAGGTGCATGAAGAAGAGTGGGAGTCTGAATTTGAAGATCGTGATTATCAGGATGATGACATTGCCTTTGATGATGATGAGGATGAAGAAGCAATTCTAAACTCCTTTACATTGGCGGAGTGAGGACTTGCATGATGGTAGCATGCTGCCAAGTTATCTAAATATTAATATCTAGTTATCTACTTATCTTTAATTTGTGTGTGGACCATAAGACCATTATTGTGTGTTGTACCACTATTTAATTTCTGGACCATTAAGACACATGATGAACTGCTAGTGTTGTCTGTATATTTTCTGGTGATCTTTTGCCTTGTGCTGCTGCCCTGATGTTTGGAAGCTTGGTTGTGCATGTACAATATTGAGCTACCCCTCGTAGATAAGTTTCTACTCTTTCCCTATTATTTGATTGTCTGGTTTTCAGATTATTAACTTGTCTCTCTTTAATGGTTAGCTGCTATTGGATGCAAGAAGCCAAGGAGAAAAGAAGCCAACAAGTGTGCAGCAACAGCAAGAGGTATGTTCACTACTTAGCAGTGTTATTACTTAGTACTTACTACTAATCTTGCTCTCAGCAGCACAAAAATAAAAAAACACACACAAACGATTAATCACGTTTAATCTACGTTTAATCCTCCTAGGCGCTAGTCAGTAGGCTAGCGCTTGCCTAGCGCCTAGCGTTTTCTTGAACATTGAAAAGGAGCTCAATTAAGGTGTCCATGTTTACTGGGTTCAGACATCTTCTCTTTATCAATACTACCTTGAAGCTTGTGATCCCAATATGATGTAGAGGAGAGCCAAAGCATATTACCTGTAAAGCAATAAAAAGATATCTAAGTATAACCGAAATTTAGGACAGCACTGAGTTATGCAGTTTGCTTCTAGCATACTAGCTTACGAAGACGGACCATAAGATAGGCACATCAGTATATATAGCCTTCTAGCTTACCAATGCCGACTCAAATCCGGAAAGCCCATCATATTTAACTTGCTTTTCTTTCTCAATTCAAACCCAACCAACATTTCACAACAGGAATGTTTTGACATTTGACCATGCCATTTCCGAGTGCAGAACCATCTTTCTATTAATATCAATGGCCAAACAAATTCTGTCAAGAACGGCTTTTCGCAACAAACTGGCTAAATTTGTGAAAAAAAACATAACCATAGTAATCAAGGATACAATATGATAAGAGGTCATCTCATGTTAGATATGTGCTACTTATTTTATCTTGGGGGGCCTAAATCATGCTACAGGAATCTCACTACTTGGATATCTTTCTTGTGCTCTTAGAAACTTGGCAACATTATGCAAGGCTGCAGCTAACTTGATCGATTTTCCTTTGTTTTATGAATCCATTTAGTCACTGTAGTAGTTCTTCTGCTTTCTATTTCTGAAAGCATGATAGGCTACTTGCTACTCCCTCCGGTTCTCTAAAGCAAGTCGTTTTGAGGTTGTCTTAAGTCAAACATTTTAAACTTTGACTACAAATAACTTCTTTTGGGTTGAGTTTGAAAATATAAAAGTGATGTAAGTAGATTCATCTCGAAATGTAGTTTCATAAAAGTATATATTGACTATATTTTATAAATATTTTATAGCAAAAAGTTGCAGTCAAAGTCGTTTCTTAAAGACCGTATCGATGTCCAAAACGACTTGCTTTAGAGAACCGGAGGGAGTACTTATTTTACTAATCCACAAGTAAAAAAATAATTTGCAGGATTCTAGCAATTCAAGATTTTTCTAACCCTCACTACGCAGATATGAGCAGTGAGCCATCCATAGATCCATGCTCAAAACTTAGAGAGGTTCTGCATTTCAACTGAGAGAATGTTCCTCGCTGTAGCCTGAAAATAAGAGTCGAGTGTTGAACGACAGAGTCCATGCTTTAATAGAGGAAGCCACTGTATTCATAAAAGCAATAGAATCCATGTAAGAATTTCCATATAGCATAATTATTTGGTATTTGCAACAAAGCAAGGAAGCAAATATGAGAGTGACCATGTGTGATCACAAACAAATTAAACTATCATTGGGTCTCCATCAATGTACACGAATCCACAGAAAACTTCTAGGCTGAGGCATTTAGTTTTTTTCTAACTGTGTATGAATTCTTACAGAATGAAAAACTACCTATAACCTTAGCATAAAGCACAAGTCAGCTAGGAGCTCCTTGTTGCTTGCAAATAAATTGGTCACAGATTGTCCACACACAGTGACGCAGTGTAACATGGATGCTTATTAATTACTCAATCCATCCCAAATTGTAAGACGTTTGACTTTTTTGACACCAAGTTTGACCACTCGTCTTATTCAAAAATTTGTGTAAAATATCACTTCTTTCGTCGTGGTTTGGTTTATTAATAAAAATTCTTCAAGAATGACTTAAATTTAACTATATTTGTACAAATTTTTTTGAATAAGATGAGTGGTCAAACTTGAGGTCAAAAAAGTCAAACGTCTTACAATTTGGGATGGAGTAGTACTTTTTAGTGCCAACCAAAACATGTATGTTAGTGAGGGAGAGTGTAAAGCATAGCATAGCAGAGTTGAGCTGAGCTCAACTGTGAGCTTGCCTGCAGCCCAAAAAACTGCAACGATGTGGGCTTGCTTTTGACGCATTCCAATTTAATAATTGCTCACTGTGTCTGTTCTGCCATTCAGTTATTACCACTGCAAATATTGAAGAGTATCTCTTCTAATTTTCCGTACAAATGAAAAAGATACCAATCTCTATTGATCACGATTTGTTTCCACAAAGGCACATGCACTGATGCACATACGAATGAGAAGAGAAAGCAGGCCAAGACTCACCAAAGGGGCTGTTTTTGGAGGGTGTTTTTTCAGAAATAGCTGCTTTTCCGTAGTTTATTTTTGAAAGCTGGGTTGACCCTGCTTTTAGCTTTTGACTTTCTGCTTTTCGAAATTGATGGAATAAAAAGCTCTTCTATAGTTATTTCAAGAGAGATAAAGATAAAAGGTATATTTTATACTTGTTTAATCAAACAGCTTTCAGCTTTTCTACAGCTCATAGCCCACAACAGCTTTTCCACAGCTCACAGCCCACAGCAGTTTTTTCCCACAGCCACAGCTCAACCAAACATGGCTCAATTGGCAACTGCACAGTAGGATCCTCTTCGTCCGCTTAGAGGAACATGCAGTCTCTTGGCAGTTAGTTCTGGCGGAGTACTCTCGGCCACTGCAGGATCCTCCTCCTCTGCCTACACTTGGTGGCGGCAGCAGCAGCTGGAGGCTGGAGCTCGTTCTCCTCCATGGCGGCATGGCCAGGTCCTCCTCACTCCAGTAAACGATAAATTTGTAATAATATAATGAAACAAGAGATAAAGCAAAGCAGCGTCCTCACTTGGTGTGGAGACCATGGTAGGCGTGCTCCATGCCATAGACGAAGAGCATGATGCAGAAGCCCTTGAGCACGACGGCGGTAGCTGTGAAGGCGACTGTGCTGCCCATGTCGTGCAGCGCGGTGGCGGCCTCGGCAATCCGTGTCATGAGATGTGTGATGCGCTTGCCCCATGGCGAGTACCCGAGAAGCAGTAGCTCCGCATGGTCCTCCAAGGCTCGCGTTGTCGTTGTCGAGCGCCAGCACCATCGACTGCGCCCGGCGCACCGCCTCCCCAGCGCCGCCGCCGTCGGCACCCTCCACGTCCAGCCCGCTCCACCGCATCCATCCTCTGGGCCTCCAAAACCACCTCAAATCCATCCACATCCAGCACGGCTTGAGATGCTGCTTCATGGAGGACGTCGCAAATCTAGGGAGGGGAAAACAGTGAGGGAGAGGGAGAGGAGGAAGGTGAGGAGGGGAACATACGACTGAGGCCTTGCCGTCCCACGGATGAAGAAGAAGGGGCGATGCAGAGAGAAGCGGCGGAACCACGAAGGGAGCGGAGCGGCGGGAAAGGGTTGCGGCGGAGCGGCGGCGTGGCTCACTCTCGTCCCGGCGCCGCTGCCTGACGCCCTGGGCGCGGTCGCGGTGGCGCGGCTCCTTGCCTTCCAGCCACGCCGCCGCACTCGCCGAGGGCGTGGCCGCCGCCGCAAGCCCTAGTTGTCGCCATTGGAAGGGGCCACTCGGGCGCGCGGGCGTCGAAGTGGAACGAAGAGTCGTTTCGTTTTTTTCGAAAACAAAATAAAAGTGGCACCGGGAGCGGGGCAGGGATTCGATCCCTGCATGCGTGGGACGCGTTTGAAGCCCGCGTACGTGCGATGGAGGGCAGGGCACGCTAAACATGAGCTGTTGGATTTGACGAGGAATGAGAGAGATAATTTGGTATATCTGTTTTGATGGTGTTATATTTTCTAGATGTATTTATAGGTGTGGATGTAGCATAACTTATGACTGTGGAACAGTCATTTGTTGTGTGGCTGTAGATTTATTCTAACTGGTGTATTATAGGGTAGATAAGTCAATTTTCGGAGACTACAACTATTTGTGAAATATAATAAGGGATTATACAATTTCTAACATCCGTTAACAAGTTTACACCAAATTTGGCCTCCTGAAACAAGAAAGTTCCATTTTTTAATATAAAAAAACAGTTGTGGGTCCACTTATGATATGGATTACTTTCTATTTGAAGGACGGGTGGACTCCACAACAGATTAGTATTTTTTTTTAAAAAATAAAAAGTTGTAGTTCCTTGTTTACTAAAGAGTACTCTTTACTAAAGGCCAAAGTTTGCGGTTTTTATTAAATGGTCATCAGAAGTCGTTGTTCTTTTTAGTACTCTATAATCTATCTTAAATAAAAGTGATCTTGAATTGTCATAAGTCAAATCATTTGAAGCTTAATTAAATTTATAGAACCTCGTTGAAAAGCTAACTCATAAAAATACATTTGATAATATATCTAATGAAATTTATTTGACATTGCTGATTTTATTGTTCTTTCTTAAAAAAGTTTATCGAAGATCCAATTTAGGATGGTTTATAACAGTTAAAAAATCCATATTCCGGGCCCAAATGGAAGTAGTAATTATTATACAATGTGTCACGTAACATTGCAAGATGAACGCAAACACCATTGTTTACCAACAGCTAAGAACATGTCAAATTTATGATACTTTGTTATGACCTTGCTATGAACAAAAAATGGTACCGAGACCTTACATTTCGAAATGCAACGAGTATCTAATTTACACAGGCATCAGATGATAGATTACATATGTTACACCATGCCACATTTAAATCTATTAATATACAACAGGCAGAAAGTAAAGCACGAGGATAGTGGAATAGTGACCCATCTCACAATCTTCCCCCTCCGACAACTACTTCAGCAAGTAATTACATCACGATTCAGTGGTCCCTGACCCCTCAAAGGAAGCCCTTGTGGAAGAACTATACAACTCGCCCTCCACGAAACACAAATCCAGTCCAACACACTGGACTTTCACAACACCCGTAGAATAGATACTCTAGGAAGCTAGAACCACACCGGCGTGTAAAATACCGGTACATCTACAAATTGCCAATCAATACATAATAAACTCACGAAAATTTGGAGGTGTTCAGCCTGCCCCACCATTTCCGCTTCACAGAGTTGGGCGATGACTCGTTGCCGTTCCCAAGCTTGTTCAGGATCACCTTTGTCTCCCTTATGCGGCCACTGAAATCTTTCTTCCACGAGTCAAAATTCTGCTTCAACCTCCGGAGCTCCATGTCTGGGTTTAGGCTGGCATCCGCCTGCCCAGACTTGACCTCAACCAGGAACTTGGCGTCATCAGCAAAAACCTGGCTCCGCTGTTCAAATTCTTCCGTTAGGCGGCCAATGACGCTCAGGCCAGCGTTCATTTCGCGCGCACCAGTGCGTGGCACCAGCTGAGACCCACTGCTGACGTGATTCCGTGCTATTTCCCAGCTCTGATCCACTGATGAGTCTGACATCCTAGGCGTCTCATCCAGAGCAAGACTCTTCTTTGCTACGGAAAGGCTCGATTGCAATGAACGATTTGCTTCTGCCACATTTCCTCCATAGCTTTCATTTCTTCTGCTCGTACTCTAACCAGCGGTTTTCATATTGCTGAAGCCGCTGATGGAGCATCTCATTCTCTTCATCCTTTTCACGAACTGTAGCCTCGGCTTTTAGTATCCGCCTCTGTAACTCAGCCAGGACTGATGCCTTGATCAAAATTTGATCACCCTCTGCCTCCTGAAAGAATATTAATAATGTAAAACTCAGGCCAGTTTGAATTATTTAAGAACTAAGCAACATATTCCAAGGAGGATGGCATGCATATAACTGCCAGAGGCAAAATATAAGGCACCCCCCCCCAGACACACACACTTATTGTACCTGTTTTGATTCAAACTCTCTTAGCACGTTTATTAGATCAATATTGCCATTACATCTTCGAACAAGACTGCCACGAATACCTATATATTTTCCAACATAGGAAGACATGGAAACAGTGTGTCAGATAATCGCTTCTCTCCAATGAACTTCTATAAAAGGAGGATCAAGAATCTTCGTACCAGACTGTATTATCACTGAGGCCTTCCGGAGATTTATGAAATACCTTCTCGCGAGCCAACATCTCACATTTCTCTGCAAAATAACCGCTGCTCTATGTTTCCTCGACAAAGAGGAATAAATTTGTCGTGCATTTTCACCACGAATGACTGCAAGTTAAGAAGGATATGTCCATTCCATACGTTAAACTTAAAGAAGAAAAATTCAACAAGAATAAAAAGTAAAATATGTCAAGATAGTAATCTAGGAGAATTTACATGATTGAAGAGCCAAAACTCCTCTTATTCGTTCTCTCTCATGATGATGACGGGCTTGATGCCCCTGAAACAGCTTTGAACCCTTAAAATACCGTGCAGAGTACGATTCCGAGTATCTTCAAGTTTGCCAATCTTCAGCCCAATATCAAAGGACACAGTAACACAAGATTATTTTCACCAAATGCTTAACAAAAAAAAGGTAGTGCATACATATAAAGATAAAAAATCCAGGACAATGAATGGTCTACAAACATGTAATGAAAGCAATTGCTTTAGTTTCTAATGTTGGCCATTACCAGGAAATTGGATAGATAGAACAACTAACCTGGCCAGTTCGGAAGAACAACTTTGTGTAGCCAACTTGATACATCTCAGGTAAAATGTTGAACTGATGAAGAATTGCAACTGAAACACTGAGTGGATCTTGAGATGCAACATCCTCAAGAAGAAGAAAGCCATACCTGATTAAATTAAGTATTAACTTTTCTATTAAAAAAAAGTTGGCAGAAACTTGCTGCAGTTGTTCAGAGAGTCAACTTACCGACAAGCAAACTTCTGGTGAGTCATTCTTGTTGGATATCCAGATCTTGAAATCCGGACAACCTCAAGAACCCCACAGCATTTAAGTTGTTGAAGCACAAGTCCTTGTTCGTAAATTGCAGGAAGTTGTAAATTATTTGGTTTAATGCAGCGAATGAAGTGTGGTGTTGTACTTTCCAGTCTTTGCATAAGTTGGAACAGTTGACCCTGAAAAAATTGCACATAATGTCAATTAAACTGTTCTAATTCAATCAAGATCTATCAGAGTGGCTCTTTCTGGGAGTGCAAAATCTACACCTTGAACTTCATGGCAACACTTAGTTTTTGAGAATCAGCAGCACTAGATCTATATGGAACAGACATAGAATTATCTGATTGAGCCAGCATCTTAGATGCAAACATTTTTGGCAGAGAAGTTTTGCATTTGGCAAGGAGCTGAATCGAGTCCATGTGCAATAAATCTCTATTCTTCTCCAGAAAACCCGAAGTATCATAAGCCACCTGATTATCAAGAATAAGAACCAATGATGATAAATGATAAAACAAAGATGAAAGAAAGCAAACTACTGTTCACTGTGAAAAGCAACAATGAATGTACAGCAACATCCAACCTCGCCTGCATAGTGACGGACAATAAATGCCTTGCCTCTTTCTCCTCTGAAGCAAGAATTCGAGTCAAGATGTTGCTTAAGCTTGTTTGCAAAAGTAAGATCTGTGGCATTGGGGAAAGTAGATTCCTCATCCAGCAGAGACAATAACCCCAGTGGTTTCTGTATTAAGTAAGAATGTTAGACAGCAAGAATATATATTACTACATGGCTGCAGGTCAAGTTTGCAAGATGTAAGCGAGAGAATTTAGGACACTTTACCAAGTTTTCGGATCCTGTAATTGAAATTATGAAACATAATAAGAAAATAAAAGGTATGAATTGTCTAAGTCGCCAAAAGGGTGCCTAGCTCAAACGGTTAGGTGACCCAGCGGCACTCCTCAGGTCCTGAGTTCAACTCCCCGTGGGAGCGAATTTCAGGCTGAGGTTAAAAAAATCCCCTCGTCCGTCCCCATAACCAAAGCACTGGGGGGCACCGCCCAATTCTCACTTGGGCGACGGAAAGCCACCGTGTAAGGGTGGGGGCGGGGGTTCGGGTTTTTCAGCCGGGTGAGAAGGTCCTTCTTCTTATTTGAAATGTTATGGGCAGTCTTAACCCCCGGTCGAGTTTTTTTTTTTTTGAATTGTCTAAGTCTTATTGATTTAATAAGAAGCCTTGTCATCTTGGTTTGATATATCAGTTATTTTACCTGTAATATTTATCATGTCTATTTGGCTCTAAGCCATAAGTTTGTTTTACCATCATGGTTTGATAAGCCAGTAACTCCTTTTACTTTTTAATGTTGTCCAAGTCCATAAATCCACCAAAGTTTTGGCAAAGCTCCATAGAACCAACTTATATCTAACAATAATATCTGCATTCAGCCATTTGACACATTGTTTTTTCTCCAACAAAGTAGCAGAGCCACATGTCATTTCATTAAAAAAAAAGGGCGTACCCAGTGCAGAGAGCTCCCGCTCTGTGCGGGGTCTCGGGAAGGGTGTTAGTGGCAAGCCTTACCCTCGCCTGTGCAATGTGAGGAGACCGCGACTCGAACCCGGGACCTTCCGGTCACAGGCGGTAAGACTCTACCGCTTGCACCAGGCCCGCCCTTCCCGCATGTCATTTCATTCAGAAGGAAAATAGTACGAGAGGTCAAGAGACCTCGCACAAACCCACCCAGCCATTTGGACAAATTCTTCCTAGAAAATTTCACTTTGACAAGTATTATTCTAAACAAACAAATCTTCACTTCGTACCTTCTAATATATCATACTTTTCAGCCAAAAGAAAGCATACAAGATCAACAAAATTTGTCTTTTTTCCTCGTCAATAATGGACTAGGCGTCCTAGCAGGCAGTAGCACTTATCTTTGCTTATTGTGAAATAAAATAGGGGGAGTTTTTTTTATCTTAAAGCAGTATTGCAGATTTGTTTTCCTCCCAGAACAAGAATTGTTACATGAGAACGAGAGTAGCTCAGTTGGTAGAGTCCCTAGTTGAGGGATCACCCAGTCGCCCACCCGGTTGAAACCTCTAGACAGTTGGGATTCATTACTCTCCTACCTAAAAGAAATTCAAAACCCAGGAACGCCTTCCAGCTTCCACCATGGTTGAGGGGGAAAAAGGATTGGTAAATGCTAAATAATGAATCCCCAGAATTTGTGGACCCATATTATCGTTAGCAAGTGACATCAGTTAACAGGATGTAGTGGTTCATACTTTCTCAAAGAGACTCAAACAGTCTTGATTATCCTCAAAGTCAACCTTTGCCCAGTCGATGCCATCCTCCACATATTCCTGTTCATAGAAAAAAAATTGATTCTTAGAGTGTTTGACAGTATTAAAAAATAGCATGAATAAGTAACATTTCATGTACACCATTTTCCACTTAGATAACACAATAGCAGATTCTAGAAGCACATTCCATATTTCTGCCTAGAACACCCAAAAGAAGCACAATAACAAGCTTGTGATAATACTACCGTTCAAAATTACATAATTAAGCATGGGATGGACATAACAAAGAAACAAAGCTGCTTTAAGAATAAAAAAAAAAGTTCATGACATAATAAATGACCCATCATTCTAAAAATCACACTTTTTAATGTTGACCAATTGATTAAAAGAATTGCAACTTGAGAAAACAGATTCTGCACATTTGAAACATAAAAAAATAACTTACCTCTTGCTCAAGCTTAAACAAATGACGATTGAAATGTTGTTGCAACCTTTCATTAGCATAATTAATGCAGAACTGTTCAAAACTGTTCTTCTGCAAATGTAATATTGTCATGAGTAAACTATATGCAATTTAATATATGACGACTTTAGGTAAAAAAAAAAAGGTACATTACATCAAATGATTCAAAGCCATAGATATCAAGAATACTGATAGATCTCCCAGTTCGACGCTTGCCAACTGAGAGAGACTTATTAATTTGTTCTACAAGCCACTCAAACAAACTGGCATAGGCTGATTTGGCCAGAGCATCTCTTGTGTCAGTTGCCTGAAATATTAAAAAGGGTAGATGCATCAGATATACAAATTATAGTACTTCCTATAACTACGGTTGATAGTTTACCATAAGTTGATAAACAACAAACCTGAGCAAGGGTAAGTTTCTGGACAATGTTTTCATTATTGACTTTCATGTGGCGCTTTGACAAAGCTAAATTGAGATCTTCAATACTGCAGCCAAGAAGTTCTGCAACCGTTTTTGAAGCTGCAATAGAAGGACATTTAAAAAAAAATCCATAGCAGTGCCTTGTAGTGATACCAATTGCTAATTTGTGTTCAGTTTTCCAAAACATCATTATGCAGAGACTCCTTGAAACAAGTTTTATGCACATGCACTCTGTCACAGCAAATCTCATCCTGACAAAAATAAACTCTAATCATATATCAACAGTTGTGTTGAGGCTCAACCTGTCCAAACATTATGGACTACAGTCGCAACACCAAATTTGTGGTTATCGTAATTTTTTTCCTAGTAGTAAATAATCTCAGAAGGATTATTGATAAGGGACTAGTTTGACATGGTCGGTAAAAACTCTTTACGAAGGTATTCACACAACCTAGAAACACCAAGGTTCAACCTTGGGAGGGCAGGCTCTGAAATGGAGTATCTACAAACTGAGCTATTGCTCAGTCTTGACCGTAGCAAAAAATCAGGATAGCTTTTACAAATGGGACTTCATAGCTCAAGACTACAGTGCAAAGCTTAGTTTCGTACACTAGACTTTTCCCAAAATCTTGAAGTTCCAATGGAAAGCAGGGCATCAGAAATCATCAAAAAATCCACACTAGTAAAAAACATTGTTTCAAATGATAAAACATCTTATTAGAATTTTTGTAAAAGTGCAATTTCAAACTTCAGGATTCCAAAACCGCAAATAAAACAAGGTAGAACAGAATCCAATGAAAGGTGTTATTCAAAATGATGTGCAAAAGACAGAATCCAACGAAATTTTACCTTCATCTACAATGATTTCAACATGATTTTCATTGTCAATTACTGTAAACGAGACATCCCCCAGCCATAGAACAGCAGAGACCATTGCAAAAACATTCTCTTGGTCCTCTTTGCTGATATGAACGATGTTCATAGCTTCCTAAAATAGAAGAAATCAGCAAACATGACAGGAGCAAAGGACAGAAAAACACACACGAAAGAGCTTGTTCTGTAGAATGAGGTATAAAAACAGTGTACCGTCACAGTTCGAAACATTTGGGCATCATCCACACCCGCAATTGAATAGCAACAGCTCTGTTTAAGATATTTGTACTCATCCACCTTTTTCAAATTCAACTTCTCTGTATAAAAAACATTATAAAGAAATTTATATGATCAAATCATGGTTTATGCAGAGGAAAAGCGAGGAACATGGATTTTCATTAAGAATTATGAAGGAATAATCTCTTCTGAAAAGTGAGCAAAACAAATAATAGCAATTTCTAAAATAGAACAAGTCAGAATTGCTTGAAGGATATAATCAGATGTCACCATAATCAATAGATTATTTACCTCTTAGAGACACAGGTGCACCAGCACACAGCTGATAAAATATATGGTAGGATCGCTCACCAACTGCACATTGTACAACTCTGGACTGCCATGGTGAAAAAAGGCATATTAGACTAATAGCTGTGAAACGGTATAGTAGTCTATTTTTCTAAGGACAAACATAAGATTAGAAGTTACCTTCTCAAGCAAAACTGTCCATGCAACAAGATAATCAGAAAAATTAAGCAACCATAGTTAGAAATTCAATATGAAACCAGCAAATATTAATGATACATAAGAGGACTTGATAGATCTGCATACATGTTTGAATCATGGCACCACATATTCTTCCAGTGGTACTGAAATGAATTTCGATAAGCTTTCCCTGCAATTGAGAATAAGCATTGGTCTTCATTTGAAGGTGTAGTATAGTGAACACACAAGAAAAAGTAAAACTTACAAAACGACTTGAGTTATCATTTCTCAATGTCTTTGCATTGCCAAAAGCCTCGAGTATTGGATTGGTCTGAATAATTTCATATTCAATACCACTTCCACCTCCAAGAGAAGCTAGATACTGCATAGCAATTTTTGCGGTTTCTGTTTTTCCTGCTCCACTCTCACCGCTGTATCAAAAGAATAAAAATGGCATCACATCTTAACATAATGAATAAGGGTGGTACTAGAATATTAATGCAATCAATATCTCAAAAGACCTCAACAAACTAACATAGAAAACAAACTTTAACTTGTGCTTGTGCCCTGAAGTAAAATATTTCTACCACATGAAAGCTATATATTCGGTGTTCAAGACAAGTGATGTACTTTTTTTTCTTACGTCAAGTGAACCACGTAATGGAAAGGGTACATGAGCCAATGCCTATTCCATCTGTTTGAAGACCACTCACATCATGATTCTAGTAAACCAAAAACCAACGAATCTTTTAATCCTCTCAACAGGATCCTTAGGGTCTAACTTAATTAATGAACAACACAGGTAAAATACACTTGGATGGACAGGTTACTATTTCTTCAGTTCAGCTGATGGGAAAACTAGTATAAATGGAACAGTGTCATTCTTGAAAAAGAAAACATTCTGAGGCTCTATTTACCATCATTTATCATCAAAGTACAGGGCCTTATTACACTAAGAATATCTCATTAAAAAAAACTGCCCACCTTATAATTATAGATTGGTTGACTTCATCTGAAAAGGAATAGAACACTTAGTTAGGCACAAATTTAGCTGGACAACCAAGATTGTGGCATCAACATTTGTGGACTGACCTCTTTTCATTTCACGAAGTGCTGCATCTGCTATTGCATAAACATGTGGACTGTCCATTGATTTATTTCTATATGCATCAATGTACTCACTACCATACAGTGCAACTTTCTTGAAAGGATTGACAGCAACCAAAACTGGACCTGCTTTAGTCTACAGTACAATAAATATCAATAATAAAGCCATCAATTGAACTCCATGAAAAAAGAATAAGTTTACATCAGTTCTTACATAAATCATGTCCTGGGAGTATCTGTACTGCAGATTGTACAGTACTGATGGTTCACTTAGATAACTTAGCTGCATAAGATCATCCACTCCATCAAGAATTTCAGGATTTGCAGGTTGAAGACTCTCTGTTTTCAATCTCAGTACCTTAAAAAGGGAAGGGCAGGGGGTCAAACGATCATGCTTCCATTGATTATAGAACAGACTATCTTAGAAAGAAATCTGCAACTTACTTTCCCTTCAGAAACCTTTAGAACGGACTCGTCACCAGAGGTTGTAAGTACTGTGCATAATGCCCAATCACCATTCAGAAGCTGACAAAAAACTCTATGCTTCTGCAACACGTATAGGGTAGAATATGAATTCACGTTGTAATCCAGGTGAGGAGAGGTGTCCAAATGCAAGTTGCTTGAAAAGACAGAGGTCTGGCAACTAGGTACAATGCGTCAAATTGCAATACTTCCAAAAAAGTCAGTTGGCATCAAAGTATAGTAACTAGGTACGATGTGTCATGTAGAATATCAACAGGCATGCCCTGAACTGGATAACTGTGTTCCAGAAAATAAAATCTGAATAACCAATCAGATGCTTCTGTAGGTTTTGACATGCTACAGTTATTGAAATGCTTCTTACTAAAAGAGTAAAATCTAGTAGGAAACACTAAAGGGCGTACCCAGTGCAGAGAGCTCCCGCTCTGTGTGGGGTCTGGAGAAGGGTGTTAGTGGTAAGCCTTACCCTCGCCTGTGCAATGCGAGGAGACCGCGACTCGAACCTGGGACCTTCCGGTCACAGGCGGTAAGACTCTACCGCTTGCACTAGGCCCGCCCTTAAGTAGGAAACACTGAAGTTTGTCTAAATCTTTCAGGATGGAAGGGAAAAGGTGTTTTGCAGTAAAATGGTAAATATCCTTGCTCACATCAGGTTTGAGGTTGCTAGGAGAAAGGTGTATACAGATCGTATCGCAATAATAACCTAAAAGGATAGAAGTATAGAACTATAGAAGTCTATTCTGTTCTCAGAAAACAAAAAAAAAACAAATTACATAAACACTCAGGGTAACTGCATTATCTTAGTTGCCATGAAAAAACAACCTAAAGGGCACAAATTCACACCTTTGAACGTGCCAAAACAACAAATGGTGATTAGCATAGCTTATAGTAGCGCTTGGTTTCACATATCCCTCTATCAAAGTACCAGATCAGCATCGCATCTGCCATTGTTTCACCAAAACAATTTCCCAATGTTCTGAATTCCCAAACCCGACACTCACATTTCAAAAGCATCAGAAGAAAAGAAAGGGAGACAGCCCACCTTCTTAGCGCCGTACGAGCTGGTGTCACTCCACCTGGCGTCGCCTTCCGTGGGGCTCGCCGCTGCCCTCGGCGACAAGCGCCTTGGCGTCGCCGCGGCCGCCGAATCCACCTCGTTTCCTCCACCTCTCTCCCCCACCTCCTCCTCCTCCTCCGCTGTCACCGCCTTGGAGCTGTACGGCGAGTCCGCGTCGTCCCGCTCCAGCCGCACCACCTCCCCTTCCTTCTCCTCCGTCTCCGCCTCCGCCGCCGCAGCCGCCCGGCGCCCGACGCCGTTCGCAGCCGGCCCGCCACCGGCGGCGCCGTTCGGCGGCGAGGCGGCCCCGGCCGAGTACCTGTAGTCGAGCGGCATCGACCGCGCCGGCTGCAGCTTGCTGGGCCCGCCGCGCGCCCGCAGGGCCGTGGACTTCCGCACCGACCGCACCTCCACCGACGCCATCGTCTCGCCGGCCGGCCGGGCGGCACAACGCAGCGCCCGGAATCCAACTCACGGGCCGCGACGAAACCCGCAGGTCCCCGCGGGATCTCCGCCCCGACGGCCTCAAATCGACCCCCAAACCCGTTCCGTCGCCAATCCACGCTCACACCCAGCAAAACACCTCCCAAAAACCGCCGGGGGGGAAAAAAACAGCCGATCTCGCTGGCCGCCAACCCGACCGCGCAACCGCGGAAATGGCGAGAGAGGCGCGGCGAGCCCGACTCCCCCTGCCGGACGCGAATCGCACGGGCCGCGGCTGCCCGCCTCCGCAGCTGCTACGCCTCCTCTGCCTGACTCCCTCCCTGTCTCTGTCGCTGGAGGAGAGAAAGAGAGAGAAGGAAGGAAGGAAAGCAGCCACAGCACCCAGCAGCGGGCTGGGTCGGGAGAATAAAAAAAATTAATAATGGGAATTAAGGTAGCCTGCGAATTTCGTGGGGGTGTTTTTTATTAAAAATGTTTAAATTTAAATGGGGTGCAGCGTTGGGGAGGCCGCGGGTGGGTGTGGGTGGAGTGGAGGCTGCTTCGCTTGGCATCGCATCGGGAAGGTTTTGAATCGGCCACATGGCGCACGTAATTCGGCCGCTTCGTCAGATCCAGAAAAAAGCGAGTGGGAGCAGCACGAGTCAGGAACAAGAACTGGTGGCTAACGGCTGCCGGGCTCAGCGTTAACGGCGCTAACGGCTACGCCCAGAGCGCGCGCCCGCCCGTGTGCCGTAACTGCACTGAAAATGCAGGATAGCCCTGGGAGTCTGCAGGATTTGCGAGATGTTGTCATTTGGTGGACCTTTGCAGAATACACCGAGGCCACGTTTAGATTGCAACTTTTTTCAACCCGATGAATAGTACTATTTTCGTCTTATTTGGCAAATATTGTCCAATCGTGGACCAACTAGGCTCAAAAGATTCATCTCGTGATTTCCAACTAAACTGTGTAATTAGTTATTTTTTTTACCTACATTTAATACTCCATACAAACGGCTAAAAATTGATGTGATGGAGAGAGAGTGAAAAAACTTGGAATTTTGAGGGTATCTAAACAAGGCCCGAGTATGAGACTGAGTGGGCTTACAACGTAAGTTCATGTTAGCAGATTCACAACGAAAAATTTCTTCCACATGATATAACCCCTTGCATTTCAGTATTATACATTCTCATTTCCATGTGGATAGATAGAGGACTTACAATTCTCGTCAATGGAACAGTGCCAAGACACCGGTTATTTGAAATCAAGATTGCTCACTTAATAGCCTACGTATGCAATTTTGGGATGAGTACCGTTGGCAACATTAGATATAATAAAATCAAGAGTAGGAAGCTCAACTCCTCTAAACAATAAATGTTACTTAGGACTTATGTTTAGCACTCACGTGCCATGGGTCGTTGGTTGGTCCTGACTAGAAAGAGAGGTGCCAAGTACTATGCTCGTTGCTTAACCACACCCAATCAGGTACTGAAATGACGCGCCAGCCCGTGCTTTTTGAGCAGCGGCCACTGGCATCGAGGGCAGGAGTGTAAATTCTCATGCTCCGAAACCCACGCCAATAGCACTTGTACCTCTCCAGGATTTCGGAGGCCTGATGCGATGGAGTACTGCTACGTGGCGGAATGAGAGCGGTCAGGAAACAAAACATATACCGACCTCTGTTCTCTGACTGGGTAGGGGTCCAACGTCTCGCGACTGTTTTGAATCGCAGCCGCTGGATGGCCATCGGAGGAGCGACGGGTCGTCGCTCCCTTGTTTTCCTCGCCCAGTTTTCTTTTTCCTTCGGTTGGGATTTGGGATTGGGACTGGAGAGCCGGCTGGTTGCAATGTGCGGCTCGGGAGGAGTCGTCCGGTCCGGTCCCCGTGTGCCACTTGACAGCAGCACGGGCACGGCGGTGGCTGCCTGGGCGGTGGCCGGTGGGGTTGCTTGCGGCTGCGGGCCATTCAATTTGGGCGATTAATCGATTATACTTTTCAAAAAAAAACAAAGGGCTGTTGTATTTGTAGTGATGATGTACTAAGCGGTAATAGCCCCGCGGCCGTGCCGTCCAAAATGGTCGGTCTTGTTCTGGTTCAAAGGGCGGTTCGTGTTTGATGTGGAGAGCGGCAGATGAGCCAGACAAATAAAGATGCTTTCCTCTGGTTTGTTAATCACTTATTACCCTCTGGTTTGGTAATAAAACTTGAATTTCTTTTGTAGCCCTTACAGCTTTGAGACTTGTGTGGTTTTAATTCGCTAATCCCTCTGTTTTAAGTTAATAAATTTTAGGTCATTTTAGTTTTTCCAATGATAAAGTTTATTATTAAACAGTGTTAACAATGACTATATTAACACTATGGCTGTTATCTTGCTCACCATCCTTTGGCGAATCTAAGATGCTAGGAACGGCGACGAAATTCTTCAAGAGTGAGCCCTCATCATGCCGTCGTGTAGTAACTAAAGTTTGTGACGATCTTGTAATCTGGTGAAAACGCTAGAGATCCGAGAGTGATGTTTCTGGTCTTAGACATTGGTGTGTGTTCCTCTTATCGTGTAACGCTCCTCAAAGCTTCATGGCTTGATCTGGAGCTTTCTGAAATAAAATACTAGGTGGGGAAACTCTCCCCGTTAACTTAAAAAAATGACTATATTAACACTATAGAAGGGAGGAAGCACAATAATGACTTGTAGCCTTATAGGTGTTAACAAAATAACATGTGTTGAATGATCCGAAGTCTCAAACACGGCTAGGGTGTCACTGAGTCTGAATCTAGACGCACAAATATAAGGCGTTAAAAATAAACCATTGAGAGGTTAAGGAACACTCAGATCAAGTGTTTTATGGCTTCCCCCTTTCATTTCTTATCATGTAGGGGGGAAATGTATATACACTTTTCTATAAACAATGTGTAATCACTTCCCAGTTGGATGGACACACGAGCCGAATTCGGTACGAAGTGATCATGGTTGAATTAGCCGACACCTGCAAAAATGATACAGCTAGTTACCGCACTCTAAAGACCCTACAACATTTAATTTCGTGATGCCGAAGAACGTTAGGTGTTCCCTGAAATGTGCAAATGGCCAGCTTGTCATGGTGAGGATGCATGAATAATTGAAAATAGGTGCTGCGTTATACACTTCGATTCACACTTGTAGGTTGGCTTGTTCAGTTAGGATTGGTTGAGGTTTCGAAATGGTCCACTCTCCACTGTCATAATTGTTGGAAGATAGCTTCTCACTTGCGCTTGCTTCTTGTCGATCTCAATAACCATAATTTGCACGCATGATGTTCATTTGGTCAGAAAAACTTGGATGTGTCGGAGCCAAGTCAAAAGCCAACACGGCTTCATATAAGAAATAAAAACTCTAAAAATAATGACTGGGTCTACGCTACGCCTACGGGTATACTATTCGTTACCTTGGCAGCAAGCCAGCAAGCTTTACGGTGTTTATCCTGACCAAATTCCTGGGGCGCTGGGCCTAGTATGTAGGAGTACGTGGTTCAGGAGTCAGGGCCACTGTGTGCAGAGATCACAGGCATGCACCCTGTTTATTTGGGTTTGTTGGCTGATAAGCCATGGCTAAAAATACTATTGATTGGTTTAATGTGAAAAAAATATTGTTCGTTGACTGATAAGCCATAACTTATAAGCTAAATACGATCCAACGAACAGGCTGATGAGTATGCAAAAAGACCTTACTACCATTTCAAGCGGAGCACTTTTCGTGTTTTTGCTACGTCGTCAGACGTCACTTGCAAATTAAAGATCCTAACCGCACAAGATAAATAAACAAACGTTAACAAGCAAGGGGACAATTCCGGCATTAATTAATCTTCGGCCTGTTCGGATGGAGAAAAACGATTGTATACGATCGTAAATTTCTAGTCGAAACAGTATTTTTCTCTCACACAAACTAGCCAGCAGTACTTCTTCACGAACCAGCAACGAAACGAACCAGCTTGCCGAACAGGCTGCTTGTCCTCTACACGCAACAACAAAAAATGAAAATTAGTGAGGATAATAATATACATATATAGGCCCCGTTTGGGACGGCTTCCGTCGGCTCCGGCTTATCTGACAAAAACACTGTAGCAACACTGTATCAAAAACTGATTTTCTCTCTCCTACTTTTCTGTCTCACTGTAGCACGCGCGCTGTAGCACACGGGGAAAGCCAGAAAAAATGGCTTCTCCAGCTTCGATGAACCGTGCCGATGTCAATGAGAGTGGGAGGGGAGGAGAGAGAAAACCGGCTTCGTGCTATAGTGTTACTACAGTGTCACGGTTAAAAAAGCCAGAGCCGGAGGAAGCCGTCCCAAACAGGGCCATATACGGTGTGGTTTGGTCAGATCGTTATCGATCTGCAAAGAAATGTTGTATATTTCGCTCAAAAGCACCTCGCCCTCGTCATAGTTTAATTAACCTTCCGGCACCTGCCAAATGGCGAATATTTGTCATGTTGACCCCTACCTTTCATGTAGAGTTAGGGTCTCTTTGACACGGCTTATGCCGGTTTTGGCTTCATCTATTTTGCGCAAATCGAGGCACTGTAGCGCGAAGTCGTTTTGTAAGCTATGGTTAAAATGAACTAGAAGCCGGAAAAAGCCAGTTTTTCTGGCTTTCACCGGGCTTCACCGGCTTTAGCTTCATCGGTAAAGCCGTTTTGGATGAGCCGTGCTAAAGAGGACTTTAAAAATACTCCTAGTGCAGTAGCGTTCGCTTTTTTAGTAGTGGGGGCACAGCACATGCTAGAAGTAATTAACCAGCCCTGTGTTCGGCATGTGAGGACGTGAGGTCATGAACTTCTCTCACGAGCTCCCTATGATGAAGAGCTTTTGTTTAGAGAATTTTCTTTTTGGTTGATCGTTTTGCAATCCAGAACTTCGAGCCCTGTTGATAACGTTGGGGACCCGACAAAGTGGCAGATATTTTTTTTCTTAAAAAAGAAAGTAATGGGTACTCCATTCGTGGTAGTTAAAATAATTTAATGATCA